GCCTCACGCCTCCTCCGAGCGGGACCTCGTCTCCTGGGGGCTCCCCTAAGACACAGACACAGACACAGACACAGACACAGACACAGACACAGACACAGACACAGACACAGACACAGACACAGACACAGACACAGACACAGACACAGACACAGACACAGACACAGACACAGACACAGACACAGACACAGACACAGACACAGACACAGACACAGACACAGACACAGACACAGACACAGACACAGACACAGACACAGACACAGACACAGACACAGACACAGACACAGACACCACGGTCCCCGCCCCGGCTGCTCAGCCCTCCAAGACGCGCACGCTGGCCTCCAGGGAAGCGGCCCAGCAAACTGAGTTTTAAGCGTAAGGCCCACCGGGCGCGGGAACACACCTGCCTCAGGCACAGCGTCAGGGGCGGCAGGCAGCTCAGGTCCCCAAGCCCATCTCCTGGACTTTACTCAGAGAACCATCCAGAAAGACTCCCTCCCGGCCCAGGTCTGTGTCTGTGACGCCTCCACAGCGGTGACCCCAGATACAGGGCGCCCACATCTCTACGACAGCAGCCCCCAGACCACAGGCCACAGGCGTTGGCAGCTGACTGTCCCCGGCCTCCGGGTAAATACAGACGTGAGACACACAGGCCAGAGCGTGGGCCTGTCAGACCTCCGCCTCCGGCAGCACGCGGTACCTGCATGGTGGCGTTGTCGTCCGTGTGCAGGGTGCACTGCGCCACCGCGGGGAACGCCTGGCAGACGAGCAGCTGGGAGAGCGGCGGCTTCGTGCTGCGCACCACGGTGGTCAGGATGTCGATGGCTGTCTGGAGGAGGAGGGAGGTCAGAGCCTCGGGCGGGAAGGGCAGCAGCCCAGAGAGAGCTCGCTAAGAAAGAAGGGACCACGCGACGGCGGCGTGTGCTCCCAGCCTCCTCACGGGGCTCCCTTGACGGCCGCGGGGCTGTGCGGCATCCGGCCCTGCCGGGGCAGCAGGTAGCGCGCGCAGTGTGTCAACAGATAAGGCACCTCTGGAACAGCCATTTTCCTGGACCCTCAAGAACCACCCCTTCCTGAGGGCAGAGCAGCCGGCAAAGTCACCCTGAACCTCGACATTCACTGGTGTCCTGGCAGCTGGGTGTGTGTGCAGGTGGTGAGTTCACACCTGCTCACTCACACACACCCACACCCACCTGCTCACACACACACACACTTGCTCACACAGCAGGTGGTGAGTTCACACCTGCTCACTCACACACACCCACACCCACCTGCTCACACACACACACCCACACACACCTGCTCACCCACACACACACTTGCTCACACACACACACCCACCTGCTCACACACACACCTGCTCACACCACCCACCCACTCCTGCACCGCGTGGTTTTGCGCCCACTCACCGCGCACAGCCCTGCGGGGAGTTTGTCTGCTGGCGCCTGCATGATGCTAACCAGCGTGGGGATCAGCCGCATCTGCATGGGGCCCTGGCAGGCTTCGATCTGGGACAGCTCCTTGAAGATGTCCTGAGCCAGCAAGGCGACGACGGGATCTGAGGTGACAAGGCAACAGGACCCCGCCCGCCGGTCTGCACACGCCGCTGGCTAGTGACGCCTGGTGTGCGGCCCTAACCTAGCGAGCAGCGTCTGCGTGGATGACACGCCACACAGCCGGGACCTAGCGGGACCACGTGAGCCACCTGGAAGAACAGGAGAGATGCCACCTCCAGAGGCACACGGTCTCCCGGGCCGCGCGCGGGCTCGCCCTACAACCACTCGGCTCTTCCTGAGCCAGTCCTGACGCCTTGATTCTCGTGGAGCCCGACTGGACTGAGGAGCAGGTGCGGCTGTGCTGGGCGGGAGCCGTGCAGCGAGGGCCACCCGAGGGTGCAGTGTGGATGCCTCCCAGGCCACGCTCCCACGTGAAAAGCCATCACCCCGATGTGCAGTGATCCCCGAGCCCCAACACCGGAGCCCCCTCTTCACAATCAAACACCCTCGGTCTTTTCTCTGATGATAAAGTACAGACGAAACGCACGACAGAAGAGTGGCGCAGAACGTGCTACAAAGCGTTAAAGGAAAGAAACCCCGTAACCCACCGCCTGGCAGCCACTGCCCCAACACACTGACGTCTACGTACGTACATTTACACACACCCTTTCCGAACACAAAGCCAAAACCGGGCACCACAGTCTATGCATTCTGGAAAAGCTGTCTATTACTTATTATCACGTAAACACTGTCTCAGTGCTTTAAGTATTCCCCTGACATTTAATATTTATGGCATAAACGAATCCTTTTCTACGTCCACATTTTTGCTGCTATAAAGGCGAGAGGAACCCCCTGTTCATCTGTCCTCAGATCTCTTTCCTAAGGCAGTGCAGGCCTCTTCCCACCCCACCCCACCCCACCCCGGTTCTACGAGGGGGTGAGACCCCCGAGAGCAGGAGCCCTCCTTTCCAGCTCTGCTAACCGACAGCCCACGCTTGCCTAGGATGCGGAAGAGCATCTCCCCAGGGACAGGTGTGCTCCTGGCCCCGGCTGGCAGGCCTGCGGTGCCCTCCCTGGTGGCATACCGTTGCTGTACTTGAGGAAGATGGCGATGGTGAAGGGGCAGATCTTGCTCTCCACGCTGGCTGTGAACTCGGGGTCCACTGTGCACACGATGCACAGCGTCTCCATCACCAGGTTGAGGACCTCGGAGCTGAACTGTGCGGCCAGGTGAATGAGGCCGTCCAGCACGCTGGGCAGGAAGGGCTGGAGGACATGCGTGCTCTCCGAGGCTTTCAGTTGGTCACAGTAGCTGGGGAGACACAGAAGCAGGAATTACTTCCTCCCAGGGACGGGTCCCTGGTGGCGTCCCCATGGTGCCTCGTGCTCAAGAACCTGCGTCAGAGACAGGGCCGCCACGGCTGTCATAAATGCTCTTGCCCAGGCTGGGGTGGCTCAGCTGGTCGAGCGCCATCCTGTACACCAAAGGGGCGGGTTCAACCCCCGGTTGAGGCACATGTGGGAGGCAACTGATGGGTGTTTCTCTCAAATCAATTTAAAAAGTTGCGGTACTAAGGTAAAAAATGTTTAAAAAATTGTGTCTTGCCCTGGCTGGGTTGGCTCAGTGGATAGAGTGTGGGCCTGCAGACTGAAGGATCCCAGGTTCGATTCTGGTCAAGGACACAAGCCCAGGTTGCAGGCTTGATCCCCAGTGAGAGGTATGAGGAGGCAGCCGATCAGTGATTCGCTCTCATCTTTCTCTCTCTCTCTCTCTCCCTCCCTCCCTTCTTTTCTGAAATCATGTAAAATATATATTTTAAAAAAAGAGAGAGGAATGAACTACAGTGCATGTTAATCCATCATGGATTAACATCAAAATCACTGTGTTGGGCAAGAATTCAGACCCTCAGACACACACACACACACACACACACACACACACACACGCACACACACACACCGTGTCTTATGACCATGCTCTGCGCCAGCTGCTGTGTTCCCAGGTCCACCACGACCAGCGAAGCCGTGGTTTGACCCCCAATCGCCCAGAGCCTCGCCTTTGGTCAGACCCCAATGCTCACAGCTGGCCTGCTCTGACCCCCTTCTTTAGAGCTGGTCTGCCACATGGCCTGGGGGTCACCATGTTCTCCCGGGGTCTCCCAGCGCCCACGGGCACTTCTGTCCACGATGGAGGCCCGAGCGAGACGTCGGAGGAACCCCCTTGCTGACACGTGTCCCAGTGCACAGCCACCCTCTCAAGAGGCAGGACGCAGGCAGGGGCAAGACAAACTGGCTTTAGGACTCCAGGGAGATTTCAGGGTTCAAGCTGGACTTTAAAAGACTCCTCAAACCAGAAGGGTCCCTCTGGGCCGGGCAGGGGTGTCCGTGAACGACCAGGGGGTCCTGGTCTACAGCTGCTGCTAGGCCACACTGCCCGCATGTGGAGGCAGCGACCCCCAGGCCGGCCGGCTCTCCTCTTGTCCTTCATGTGCAGCCCTCGGGCCATTTCTCTCAGAGCCTCGGGGGCGTGGTGTCTGCAGAGAAGGGCCCAGCGGGGAGGTCCCGGCCGGGGTGGGTTCACTGGGAGCCAGGAGCGAGGGAGCGGGACACGCTCCTGGGACGCCTTCCTCCATCCAGTCCACAGAACAGCTTCACGAAGAACCTCCAGCAGCAAAATCCACTGGAACTGCGGTTCGGGGCTCAGCTCTGAGTAACTTTCTCTTAAAGAGCTGGTGTTACCTCGGGCGGCGTACTCACCCCCAGATGGCTCTCACAGCAGAGATCCGCACGGACGGGGGCTGCGTCTCATGAAGGCCACTAACTGTTGCCTGCAGGAACTGCTGGATCAATTCAGGGGACATAGCGACAGTGAACCGACTGGCAGCCCAGAGTGCCCGACCCAGGAGGAAGGGAGACACTGGGAGGGAGAGAGAGCAATTAGGGGCTGGACACCACCGTCTGCGACCCCTGCCCTCCCCCTCTGCGCTCGCCACTCACGGGTACCATGTACCAGAGACACTCGGGTGAGAGACAACACCGCCTCTCACCGTTGGCAAAGCAGACCAGAGCGCTTCAGACTGAAGCCCCCCGACTCCCCTGCTCTCCTCACCCCCACCCCGCACGGCCAGGCAGCCCTCCGCATGCCTCCTCACTGCCAGGCTGTCCTGCCCTTGGGCCACTGCTGGACACCACACATCACAGCTCTCCTTCTTGTACTTAAAACATGCCCACAGATGCCAGTCTACCGAGTCACGGGCACCTTGGTTAGCACAGAGCTCAAGGCCTCGAGGCCAGTGACTCAGCATGACCTGCGGCCTCCCCAGGCATCCAGCTCAGCTCCCGTCTGCTCACTCCCTCTCCGAGCGCACAGGCCAGTTCCCCAAAGGCTACGTGATGTGCGAACCACAGCTCGGACAGCTAATGGGACGGGTGCGTACATTTCTTACATTTTAATCTCTCAGTTTTCACTGCCAATATGTTAAAATTGACACAAAAATTCAAAGAAAAATCTCTTTGGGGTTGTTGATAATTAAAAATGGCTGGTATAGAAAAGCTTTTAGCCATAGAGAGGCTAATAAACGTTACATATTAAACCTTCCCCAGTCGGAACACTGAATACTCTCCAATCTCCATGAATTTTTAAAGACTGTTTGCTAGGGCAAATGCTACAAAAATATGCTTAAGGGTCTGAGCAGTCCCACCGCTTTCCCTGAACACGTATCACGTGCCTCGCCAGGAGGCACCACGGGTAGAAGCTGCAAGGACGCGCCTGCTACTCAGACCTCACGTCAGGGCGAGGAAGCAGCATTCACCAGCCTGGGCAGCGCAGTTGCAGGGAAAGGGACCTCCCTACAGGCCGGCCCTGGAGGCTCAGCCCCTCAGCTCTGACTCAGAGCCCGGAGTGAGGGCGAGGCCGACGCTGCCCCTCCAGCCAGAGCACTGGCCTCGGGGGTGCTCCCCAGGGCGTCCATGGAGGGGAGGGGAGTGAGGGACCGGGCTGCAGCCCGCACGCCCAGTGTCCCTGATGTCCGCAGGAGGAGGAGGTGGGCAGTGTGTGTGGGTCTGTGGGGCGGAGGAGAGTCGACACGTGGGCAGAGGCCAAGGAGCCAGAGACACGCGAGGGCGTCCCCGGCCGCTCGGCAGGGCTGGGAATTTGGGAAAGCGGCCGCTTTTCTCCAAGGCAAATGCCAACATGGTCGGAGGGCAGGACACGGGATGAGGAGGATACTGGCCAAGAATAACAGGAAGCAAACAGGAAGACTGGGCCTGACTCAGACGGCCAAGGGGCGACAGGACAACAGCGGAGCCCAGGCCAGCCCTCGAGGCGCAGCCAGCCTCGTCCTGCTCGAGTGCCAGAGCAGCGCTGGTCTGAGAAGTCGCCGAGGCCGCGGGCCTCCGGCTGCTGAGGTGAGCCCAGGCCGGGGCTGTGTGAGGGCTCCGGGAGCTCAAGCTCCAGGTGGGAAGAACGGGACCCAGAGGACGCGTGACCCTGGCTCACCCACCTCCAGGAACAAGGCACGGAGGCAGGTCTCAGGCCGGCGGCGGCCTGCGGAGCCATACCTGCGAGGTTGAGGTCCGCCAGGACCACGCTGGTCAGGAACCCGTGCATGTCGAAGTGGACCCGGCCGCTCTTGACGCTGTCGGTGAGGATGGACTTCACCGAGCCCAGCGCCAGCATGCAGGCCTCGTGGATCTTCCACCTGCGGGGACAGCACTGCTGGTGACCAGGCCGCGCCGGACGATCCAGCAGGAAAGGGCGCTCCAGCCCGACCCTCCCCCGCAACCTGGAGCGGAACAGACACTGAGCCAGTTTCCTAGTTAAACAAAGCCGCGTTCTCCTCTCTCGGCTTTTAGAATAACAGCATCTGAGCAGACTGCCGGGCGTGGATTGGGGGGGGGACCTGCTCTAAAACCAGTCACAGGCGGCCGAGGCCCCTGCACTCCAGGCAGCGCCCCACGGCCCGCTCACCAGTGCTCGGCGCCGCTGTTCTTGGTCTGCTCAGCTTCCTGTAAGTGCCGAGTGGCCGCGGCAGCCAGGGCGGCTGCGCTCTCGCCCTGGAAATCCGTGGCCACGGCCTGGGGAGACAGGAGACGGGCTCATGCGTGTCTGTGCAAGCAAACCCGCTTTAGCTGCAAATGCGATTGCGCTGAATGGTCAGTCTTCACACACAGGCGTCCCCGAGGGGTCCTGGACACACCCCAGGTGCAGGCCTGAGGGGACAGGGTGGTGTCTCTGTGGCTGCAGGGCCTGCCCTGGGAAAGGCTCACCTGCTACAGGGACTTGGTGTGACCTTTCTCAGGTGCCCAGAAAACTAAAGGGTGAGCAGAATTCACCAACCACGAGACAGCCCTCCCACTCAGCAGGGGCAGCTTCGCAGATCGGGGGCCTAGAGACCCCGAGCCCTCGTCAGAGCCGGAGACGAGGGGCAGCTGCTGGGGCCGTCCCCACCTCCTAACCTCACTGCCCGGCCTCTGACCATCCAGAGCCCGCTGAGCGGACGGGTCGGAAACGTCCTGCTGACCCAGCAGCAATGACCTGGGAACTCCTGACCCTCCAGCTTCACCTGAGATCCTCCCTCGTTACCCGACACCTGGATAGAGCCGCCCACCCTCTGCCTGCTGGGCGGGGCGTTTCTCCAAGGGGGGAGCCGAGGACTGCGAAGCTGCCGCCGCGTCGGGCAGCCCTTACCAGCAGCAGGTCCTGCGCGGCGATCCTGACCGTGTAGGAGAACGTGTCGTCGTCCTCGTCCTCCACGAACTGCTGGGGGTTGGCCGTCCACACTTTGATCTGAAGGACCAGGAGGGAGGTCGCTGGGAGGCTGCGACCCGGCCACACGCTCCCTCTTTTCACTGCGCACACGGGGGGACCTCAGCCCTTTGCTCTCTTGAATAAAAGCCCAGCTTCAAGGTGCTTCTCTTTGGTGTGAGAAGCCTGAGAGGTCATCAGCGAAGGCAACGGCCTTGAGGGACACTTGCTTCAGACCGGCAGGCCACCAGCTCTGCCTGTCAATCAGGTGTTACTTTTTAAAAAAATCCTCACCTGAGGATGTTCACTGATTTTAGGGGGGCAGAGAAAAACAGTGATGCCGGAGAGAAGTATCGATTGGTTGCCTCTCCTACGTGCCCTAACCAGGTCCGAACCCGCAGCCTGGATCCGTGCTGACGGGAATGGAGCGCGTGGCCTCGCGGTGCGTAGGACGGTGCCCCCACTGAGCCGCACGGGCAGGGCCCTGCTCCGCGTTCAGAGGAGACCAGACCTGGCGGGTTTTGTGTGAAGGTGATGTTGATGCTGGTGGCTGACATGAGTCATATGCTTGTGTCTTAAGTGCTCTTTTGTCTAATGGTGACCTCGTCTCTGTTTACAGAGAAGGGGGGGTCCTTCTGGCGAGGGCCTGGGTCGGGTCCTGCAGGGCCCAGGCCCCGTGGCCAGGCCTCGGTACTGCAGCTTCCCCAGCACACCGCAGGGAGGAGGTACTCCCCTCGTGTCTATTTTAGAAGCACGCGGGCGCCGGGTCCCTGGCTCCTGGCGGCTCACCTGCTCCTCGGTGATCTGCATGTACAGCAGGACGTAGTAGATCAGCTCCGGCAGGGCTTTCCGGACCGTGCTTTTGAACTTGCTGTTCTCCAGCAGCGCGTGGACAAACTCGAAAATGCTGAAGACGAGGTTTTCAAAGCCCAGGACTTCGCCTGCAGGAAGCGCAGAGACAACTGAGTGACAAGAGCGTGAAGGACAGGACGTAGTGGGAATAAACAACATGATCCGTGACACTGACGCTATTCACGTCACTTGGAATACTGCTCGCCAGGGAATGGCCGGGGGACAGTAGGCTATTTCCCAGCAGGTGTGTTCTGACCTGAAGGAAAGTGTCAGCCCCCGGGGCCCCAGCCCAGACAGACAGAATGACGGAGCGGCCGGGCTGGCGGGCCTGGGAGCACCGTGTCCAAGTCCAGGCCCGTGACCGTGAGACTCGGCCCGAGCCCTGCTCCCACCCCAGCACAGCGAAGGGAAACCCAACCGGAGAACTCGCTGAGGAGCCTCCCGGGGCCGCTTTCCTGCAGCAGCCACAGCACGCACCATCCGAGTCCACAGGGTCCTCCACCTCCTCCGTGTAGTTGACCTCTGTCCTCACGTAAGTATGACGGAGAGTAAAGGAGTACAACCTGCTCCACACACGCTCTACAGGGAGGGTGGGCGCCAGGGGAGACGCTAGCACTAGAGCAGGGACCTGGCGAGCCGCCACCGCGGGCCGCCCAGCCGGGAAGGATATAAGGCCGCGCTCTCGGTCAGGGTGTTCCAGACGATGGGCAGGATCTGCTGCATGGAGGACACCATGTGCTTGGGGAAGTTCTTCACCAGGGCGGTCACCGCCTGTGCCAGGGAGACCACAGCAGAGGTCAGGGACAGGCGCCCTCAAGCCCCGGGCTCCCCGGCGCCGCTGCCCACCTTGAGGACTTCCATCTTAAAGCCGCTGTCGGACGTGGGCCCGTCGGGGATCTGCAGGGCCTGCACGAAGGCCTCGGTGAACTGCTGCACCACCGGGAAGATGAGGACTTTGGCTGCACCCTGAGGCCAGAGAGCGAAGTCAACAGCGACGCGGCCCATCGGGGGCCAGGCCCCATCCACCAGCCCTCGAGGCTCCGGAGATCCTCAGGCTCCGGGCCAACCCCACGGCTAAGTCCCTGGTGGGCTCCTCCCTGCGCGTGGCCTCCTCGAAGCCGCTACACCAGACCCGCTTTCCGAGCCGCCTCTGAACCCAGGGTCGGCGTTCCCAGCGAGTCTCCCACACGAGGCCGTGACACGCCAGCGAGCTCTGGGCGCTCGGTGAGCAGGAGCAGGACAAGGTGTTGGAGGAAATAAGGCTCAAACAGGACACTGAGCCACCCACGCCTGACAACTACCCGGAGCCCAGTGTCCCCGCTCCCCGGGCCGTGTGCCGTCTGCAGAGCTCGCTGCCCGCAATGGGGCACCCCACCGTGAGCCCAGGGTTCCCGTACCTTTTCCAGCTCCTCCATGTTGCAGATCATATGGGCACACGTGGTGAAAATCTCCACGGCTCGGGAGCGGGTCCGGATGCCGTACACCTGGGAAAGGCACAGACAGCCGTGATGCCGTGAGACGGGGCCGTGCGACAGGGCCGTGCGCCTGCGACTGGAAGGAAAGCTGACCCCTCACCCCGATGTGACGGGGCTCCCTGGGACGGATCCTGCCCTCCAGGGAACGCAAGGCACAGAAGCTGGGACTCGCTGGAATGAGCCTTCACGCTCACAGCCCTCGCGGGCGACCTGATGGGAAACACGGGGCCTGGCACTGCCTGCACACCCGGCACGCGGGGGCAGAGCAGGAGGCGGGGGCAGCACCACCCCCAGGCTGCCGTGTGACTGGACGAGCTCCGTTCACACTTGTTAGCATGTCTACGTGAGGGACATGAACTCCTCTGTGAGCACCACAGTGACAGCTGCCCTCAGTGGCCAGCGGGAGCGAGCTCGGGTGCGAGCCTCGGCGAGGCGGGAGGAGTGGTCAGCCCGGGACTTCGGGCCACAGGGTGCAGGGTCTTTATCAAGGATCGCGGTGACTCTATCTTCACGTTGGGGACGGGCAGCAAACACGGCTCCCACCGGGAGGGGAGGCTGCGCGGCCTGCGGCCCGGCTCTGGGGCCTGGGCGGGGCCCTCGTACCTCGGCCATGGTGAAGATCTTGAACATCTCGGGGAGGATGACGGGGGCGACGAGGGGCATCTGTGTGTCCGTGACTTCCCGCGTGAATTCTACAAGGAAACAGGGAGCCCAGTCTGCGTGGGACAGTGCGTGGGAAGACGCCGCACTGCCTCCCGCGGCAGCGCCCCGGCAGGAGGAACGGCACCGACACCGGCCTGCTGGCCTGTCCGGGAGGAAGGAGCTACTCAATACTTGGTAGGAAGGGAAAGCGAACAAGTCAGAGATAGAGGAGGAGACACGAGATCAGGAAAGAAACCCTCAATAGGCCCCGAGGAAAGTCTGACAGAGGCGGGTGAAGCTGGTGAGGCCGCCGTCAGAAAACTGCGTGAACCCGGTCTGTGGCCGCATGTCAACGTTCAGGTGCACGTCAAGGTGTCTCCCCTTTGGTCCCAGCCCCCACACTCCCCGGCGGCTGTCCTGATGCACACAGTGAGCTCACGAGGCTCCACCTCCGTTCTCCACGCCCCCGTCCCAGGGAACGGCACCTACTGAGCTAGAAGCGTGAGCCTGCTGCCCACGGCACAGACAATGTGCCCAACGCAGCCGACTGGCGGACTGAGACCCGAAGGTGAGGGGAGTGTGGGCCATGCCTCTCCCCTTAACGTCCAACACCCCCACGAGGCACCGAGCGAGCACCCCTCAGGCTCAGCAGGGAGACCCCCACCTCTCCCTGGACCGGAAGTGGAAGTATTTCATTCTGCTGGACTGTTCTTGCCTCTGTCCTGGCTGAACTACGACCAAACTCTATGTAATGAAGATGCTCACCACCCTGACGGCTGAACTGAATGCTTTGGAGCTGAGCTCGTGTAAATGACTCGGAACGCCACTGAGGCAGACACTACATCTGAGTTTTACGCACACGGAACCCAGACCCGAGGCAGAGCCAGAACATGATCTGGATCAAGTGCTTAACCACCCGCTGCAGCCCGGCCTTGGGCGTGAGGCTTCCAGCAGCAGATGCCGCACCAACTGAATTCCCTGCAGAGAGCAGACGGGGCGGGAGGGGCCGTAGCCCAGCGGGCGTCACACAGGCCGCGTCCTGCTGCTCGGAGCCCCCACCACAACGTCGGTGAAGACGCCGGCCCGGCCCGAGGGAGCAGGGTCCACGCCAGCAAGGGCTCCTCACCTGTCAGCACGCGCATGGCTCCGTGGACGGCGTTCAGGTCTCCGCTCACCAGCATCTCCATGAGCAGGTTGAAGAGCTGGGGCCAGGCTTCGGGCCAGTCCCAGTGGGCGATGGCCGACACAGCGTAGGCCACGCTGGAGCGCACCTTGCTGATGGACTCCCTCAGCCCGCTGGGCAGCAGCTCCCGGATGAAGATCTTTGCCTGCGGAGGAAGCGCCCGCCCTCAGACCAGCTGCGCGTGGTCAGCAGCGTCCCACCAGCTTCCGTGTTCGCCAGACTCTGCACGCGAGACACTAACCATCTCTAGTTCCTCCGAGTGTGACCCTGACCAACAGTCCACTCCCACTTCCCCGCGGCCCCACCCCCGGGCAGCCAGCACCGCAGCCTGGCTCCGGCCACGGAACCCCGTCCCCGCTGCAGGGCACGCAGTGCTCCGCACCCAGGCCCGCAGCCACCATCTGCCGGGAGCCCTGCCCTGGGGACAGCCGGCGCCTCAGGGCTTCCCAGGGGCCCAGGACGGCTGCACAGCTCTGCACCCAACAGAACCGTCACTCCATTTCCTCCTCAAACAGCTCTGGGAAGTTGGAGCTTAGAAGAAAAACACGGCAGACTGGGGCCTGACGCTGTCGGCCCGCCACCCGGGCAGTGTGTCCACAGCGCCAGCCACCGCCCGCCTCCTGGGCCCAGCCCTCCGGCCCTCCTGCTGTCCGGGCAGACTCACCCTTTCCGTAGTTTCTGGAGGCCTGAACTTCTCCGAGTGGGCACACCAGTGCGTCTCCACGTACTGCTTCAGAATGACCGACGCCAGCTGTGCAGAGAACAAGCCGTGTCCACAGCAAGAAAAGGCTTTTTCCACACGTAAACACTCCATGCACCCGGCCCGGTCCGTTCACCCGAGGCAGCTACCTCCGGTACCAAGCCCCAGGTCACTTACAAACAAACTGGCTTTACGCTTCCTCTTTCCCACAACCAAGCTTCATGACCAAGTACAGGGAGCTCCTTATAAATCGGACCCATCAGGATGGACGTACCTGACGAATGGCCAGGGCCCCCTGGGGGTCCACGGTCAGCTCCGCCAGGTGGACACCAAATTCTGGAAGAGAGAACGGCTGTGAGTCCAAGAGGGCAGGAGAGCCGCAGCGATGACTGAGCAAGAAGCCAGGTGCCAGCAGGGAAGGCCGCCGACAGGAGCCTGCTCCACCGAAGCACTGATGACGCCAAGATGGACCGTCCAGGGGGCGGCGGGGAGCCCACAGGGAAGTCCCAGCACCAGGTCCCCTTCTCCATCACCACAGGCGCCTTCCGCCCCTCCCTTCCCAGACGGTAGCGCCTTCCTCTGGAACCAGTGACGGATGCGGATCTAACCGAAACCTGTACCATCTGACCCCACAGAAAAAGTGGGATTTCAGGAGCTGCTCAGATACGCACCACCAGACAGGAGACGATGCTCAGTCTAAGGAAAGCTGGCGTTCACAGGCTCAGTCCCTCAGCACAACTGCTGAAGTTAACAGTTGTCAATGAGCAATGAAAGCAGTAATCTTGATATGCATTTGGGAGGCTAAACAGCTTTTACTCCCAAAATAAAATTCAGATCCTTAAATCCAACCCCATAAAAATCCCAATAATGGTTTTTTTTGTTTGTTTGTTCGTTTGCAGAAATAGAAAAATCCATCCTAAAATTAATCTGGAATCTCAAGGGAGCACAAAAGACCAAAAGAAGACCAAAGCTGGAGCACTCACACTTCCTGATTCCCAAACTTACCACAAACCTACAGTGATCAAGACAGGGAGGTTCTGGCAGAAAGACAGACACACAGACCAAGGGGACAGAACAGAGAGCCGCATCCATGGTCATGTGACTTCTGAAGGGGCATCCAGTCTGTCCGATGGGAAAGGACAGTCTTTTCAACAAATGATGCTGGACACTGGGTTCCCCAGACAAAAATGAGCTCACGGACCGAGAGCCTGAACGCGAGACCCAGAGAAAGCACAGGGAAGAACTTCACAGCACTGGGTTGGCAATGACGTCCTGATGACACAGAAACACAGAGAACAAAGAGGAAGAGACGTACTGGACTTCATAAAACGTAAAACACTTTGTGCGCCGAAAGACACCATCAACAGAATAAAAAGGCAGGACGGTCTGACCCCCTCGTCCGTCCGCATTAACTCCCCGCCCACCCCATGTCAGTGACCAGCAGGGCCTGGCGGGTCTTTCCTGGCTGCTTTCGCAGGAGTGAGCAGATGGCGCATCCCTCCCATCCTCTCGTTTACATGGAAAGTAGTGGACGCTCTTCTCACTTCGCTTTCCTTCAGCTACACTGCATCCCGGAACTCCCCTACCTCAGTCCTGAGATCCCTCACCGCTCGCCTGCGCAGGGCAGTTAGAGTCGCTGCGCTTCGCTGCGGTGAATCACGTGGGCGCACCGTCACGCGCTGAAGGCACAGCCCCAGCCGAGTCCCCAGCGGGATGCCGGGCGGAAGGCGTGCTGCCCGGGACTCTGAGTTGTACTTAGAAAGCCTCTCCTATGCCAACGTTAGAGAAAAAGTTCGTTCATGTGGAGCTTGTGTGGTTCCCTCCGTAAGCATTTAGACTTCCATCCACTTGGTGTAAGATCCGATCCCAGTCCAAATGGCGACCAGGCGTCCCGCCTTTAAAGCCTGTCTGGCCCGGTGATCTGAGATGCCGCCTCAGCTGCACCCTAGTCCCCGCCGGACCGTGTCTATTCCTGCGCCAGCGCCACGATATTTTCATTACAGAGGCCGATCTCTGGATACCAGGCCCTCCCACTTAAAAAAAAAAAGTTTTATTGATTTCAGAGAGGAAGGGAGAAAGACAGAAACATCCATGGTGAGAGAGAACCATCGATTAACTGCTTCTTAAAATCTCCTCCACCCTGAACCCCTCAGACACGCCATGCTTTCTCGTCTGTCCATTTAACAGGGAGCTGACAGCTGACCTTTGCCCTTTCCCCAAATCCCATTAGAGATTCTCCCACTTCATCTCCAAGCCTGGGGGTCATGGCCTGGCAGCCCAGGCAGGTGGCCACCTGTCCGCCTTAGGACGGACCAGCCTCCCGCGTGCGGCTCTAACAAACGGCTCACGGACGGGTGGGAGGGACGAGGACGGGGCTGCCATCGACCTGGAGCCCACGGCGCTCCGACCATCACCGCACGAGGCGCAGACACGCTCCCGATCCCCTCCACTTCAAGTCCTGAGGAAGCCTGTTCCTAGGACCAGAAGGCAAGGCCTTTCCCACGAGAATAAAACTACAACGGGAAGCAACTCAAAGCAGCGAGAATGACGTGCTCATTCATCAGCCTGCCGGGCGGGCGGGCGCATCCGGCGCAGAGATGGACGACGGCTGGGACCCCGGAGCTGCACCCTCACGCAAAGGCGGGAAGGAACCACTGATCGTGTCACGGACAGAAGGTAAGACGGGAGGCACTCTGCACCCAAAGGCCAGGGGAGGCCAGGAGAGAAGGGGGACTGTCTCGGAGGACGCGCCATCCTCCATGGAAACGAGGCCACCACGGGGTGCGTTTCCATGGTTCCCAGATAAACTCAGGGAGCGGGCGATTTAAACCCACACACAGCCTCCAAGGGCCCCAGCAGCGCGTTCAGCTGGAGGCGGGACCCAGGCTCAGCCTTCCTGCCGGGGCCGGGCCACGTCTGCACCAGG